AAACCCAAAAAAAGCCTATATTACTAAAAACAATGAAGGTATGTCGATTTTGCGCTGCATTTTGCCATCGTTTCCGATTGCCGTTGTTGTCCGATTTTGACAAAACTTAAATTCTGATATAGTAAATAATTACTATATCTCAAAGGAATATTTTGATAAATAGAAAAACAGCAAAATAAAAACGGACGGACGGATATGGCTAGATCGACTTTCCTTAACTGAAATTATATTGCAAGGGTATAAAAAAGGTCTTGACCATTTTAAAAGAATCAAGGCCTTAGACTAGTGTCACTTTTATGTGTTACATACAGTGACAAACTTAATTATTGGCACAGCAAGCATGTTAAACTTTGAGGCTATTTTTCTTCTTATAATATGCTGATATTAAAATGAAACAAAATATTTTTAGATAGAATCATTAATTTTATGTTAAATACAAGTGACTTCATTAATTTATCTTTTATAAATAATTTATTAAAAATAAAAAACCAAATAATGGACCAAATTTGCCTGAACAAAATTATTGGCACACTTGGGTTTTAATTAACTATTTTGTTAAAACTTTATCGATTTGGCCACTTTTTTTTAAATTATCATATTGGCCTCTATAATCTTAATGGTATAATGAATAATTTTATAACTAAAATTTATTTAGTGCCTTAAAATAAAGGAAAAGTTGTTTGACTTTACAAGGGAAAAATAAAATCAACCGCATGTGTCCAAATATTAAAATTTAATAAGCAGGATCAATGCAAATCGAAAGTCAACATTAGGATGCCCTGATTTATTCGGCATATAAACAAATTTTATCAGGCGATTTTTAAAAGATTGTTTGGACTCACACCCAATTTCTTATGAATCGGTCAAATAACATAGTTAAAGAAAGTCTAAACTTAGCAGGCTTCATTAATTGCTGATCGTTAAAAAAATGAAATGCCTATGTTTGGGAAACTCGATTGTCGCTCATACTTGTCTCTTCGTGGAAGGTTTTATGGAATTGTCTTTAGCTTTAGATTGAACACAAGCCAAAAATGTTCGTGCATAAAATTAAATTTAATTTGCATTTTAAAATTTTGCCCCAATAAACCAACCTTTTGTCAATCAGGTTGGTCAAGTTAATGAAACTAACCCAGTTAGGATGCACAAACTGGCACGCACATTTATGTATTTCACTATTTTCAGCCATTCTTTTTCAACAATGTATGTACGAATAAATGTATAGAGGGAACTTTTTCCGTTGCGACATGCACAAGTGCTTGCTAACAAAGTTAACACAAGATTACTAATACGCACCATTGTACGTGACTTTTTGCTGTCAGCTAAATCAAGTTTCATTATGTGCCAAGCAATGGAGAAGGGGCTGCGATGAAAATACAGATACAACCGCAGCCAGGAGGAATATTGGGGTAGAATCGAAGGAGAAGTACGAAGGGAAAAACTCTCAGCGCTCAGGACAACTTGTGCATAAAACACCTGCAGCAACTTTTGCTAATTGTGGGCAGAGCATACGCTTATAAATGCTACTATCCAATGGCTTTTAGTCCACACCAGCAGTATCGAGTGTGGCAAGTTTGCAGCATAATTAAAGCGCAGACACGCCTCTGGCAAGAAACCCTAATGGCATTTGCAAGTGAAGCACGCACATTGCCAAGAACACAGGCACGGCATGTCGTCCTATATCTAGGACCCTGAGGACACACGGAAATAAATGTGAGAGTATTGAAAGACTAAACGCAGTGAAGGAGATATTTCCGACCCTATAAAGCATATATATTCTTGATCACCATCACCATCGATCTAGCTATCTGCTTGAAACTTTCCCAAAAGTTGTCTTTCTATTGCAGGTATTATATAAGTCAGAACGAGCCGGATCGGGCGACTATATCATATTGCTTCTATAGAAACAATCGGAAAAAAAACATTTTTTACTTATAAGTTTGTTGTTTTTAATGTTTTTTTTTTGTTTTTAGGGATTTGGTAATATTTAAATTATTTGAAATTTCGGCTTGAATTAACTTTTATAGGAAAGTCAAAAAATGAAAAAAAAATAAGATCAAATAAAATTTGTATTTTGCTGTTTATCAAAATATTCCTTTGAGATATAGTAATTACTATAAATAATTATTTACTATATCAGAATTACGCCCTTAGTTTTGTCACAATCAGACAACAATATCATATAGTTGCCATAGAAACGATGGCAAATTGCATCGCAACATCGACATAGCTTCACTGTTTTTAGTAATATAGGCATAGAAATCGAAATAGTCGTTTTGTAATAACTGCAAGGGTATATAAACTTCGGCTTGCCGAAGTTTGCTTCCTTTCTTGTTGTTATTGATTTCTTATTTATTTTTAAATGATACAAATTTAAAAACAAATATTTTAAGTTAAAGGGTATTTCTCAACTCTGTTTTAATACAACATCTAGTAAACTAGGAAACTCATGGCCCGAGTGAATCACAAACAAAGAGAAACTCTATAGTGGAGGGACCGAATATAAGATACTTACTAGCTAACCAATTGCAAAATGAACGTCCCTTCAGCTGAAGACTGACATTTCACTTGTTTTAAAAGTACACCATAAAGGATTTGCGTCTGAGATAAAAAATACAATAATCATACTCCTAGTGGAATTCCTGATTGTGCGAAACTATTAGGCCTATTTGTTTTTGCCTGTATAGACATGTCCTGTGCATTTGGCCTTTTAATCAACTAACTGTGGATGTTAGCATCCGATGTGATACTATTATAAATGACTCGCGCTGAACCAGCCACGAAAAGAATAAATATTTAATGGAGCCACACCGAATTTCAGCTTTTCCAATGGCAATTGCAGCTGCTTATTATTTATGCTTCCCCAAAGACCTGGAAAATAAGCAAAAATATAGATATTCCCACACTGTGGCTGCGGCGGACCAGAAACCCCGATCCGTATCCGTAACAAACTTTTCTGCTCCGGCAAATAAAAGCACGAGTACGCAGCCCGAGCTTGGCCTGATTTTCACGGCGATTTGAATGTTTTCTTCTCCCACCATTTTTTTTTTTTGGTTTCCCCACATGTGTGTGAAAGGATTCTGTCCTGGGCATGTGTGCTTAACTTCTGTATCATATTTTGTGGGGCAGAGTTTTATGAGTTCAAGTTTTTAAGAAGCTTTCAAATTCAACTTGACACATTGATGGCAAATTGGGGCAAGCTCGGTGAATATTTCGAAGAGCGAAGAGGTAGCTTAGATAGGCAATCTATATTAATGTCATTCGACAAAGGCTTAGTTTGGCTTTCAAAATAAACACACCGCACTCAGTTCATTAAAATACATGCGTAATGAAAACAAGACGGTGCAGCTCCTTTATCTTGTGATTACAGAAGGCAAGTATCTGTTGGATACCAATAAATATTAGCTGATTGTTACGTTTATATATCACACTGTGTGCAAATTAAATATTCAATTATTTGCCCAAAATTGCAAGTTTCCTTCCGTGCCTAAGTGCGTTTATGTGTAGCTCTGGCCCATTAATATTTTAAGTTACTTGCTGGCAACATGAAATATTACAAAGGCAACATACTGGCGCACAGTGCCTGGTGTCTGGAAATGATTATGCAATCTAATGAAAAGTAGCCCAAATAATCTATACCATATCCCAGGTGGTTGCCACGTGCGAAAAGGATATTTGGAAAGGGATTTTGGCAGGTCAACCACTGGCTGGCAGTCTCATTAACCACAACAGCAGCAGGAGCAGCCGCAATACATTATAAATTTAGCTGCTTCGCCACATGAGCTTGTGCCCGACTATACAAGTTTCTTCATTTATTCCATTATTCAATAATAAATGATAGAATGGCAGTGTCTGCGGAATACAGCCAAAGTGCGAAGAGCTGTCGATGCAAGGGTTTACAAGAAACAAAAATATAAATATGTACGCAGAATTTAAGCTTTTATATTTGGGTGTTGAGCCCCAGAAACTGAAACTTTCTACAATTCGGTAGTGTTCCAATTGAAACTAAGGCATTAAAAGCTTCACTATTTGAATATATTAGTTTGACACTGAGAAATGGTTGCTAAGTTACCTTTCAAATTTAAGAGGATCATTAACTTGCACTAATATTTAAATAATAAATAAGGCAACAAAAAATTATGTTGGAATTCTTACACTAAACATGTTTATTTCGTAATAAAAAAGTATCTTCACTTGTATTATGGTTGTGTACGCAACGAATATATTGTTAGCAATGAAGAATTAATTTGAGACCTCAATTAGAGCTTAACTTAAAACATTCTTGAGCACATTGATGGCTCTTAAGCTGAAGAACTGAGGTGCGTTTTCAACGACCACGATGTGAGAGTATAGATGCCTTAACATCTAATTATTAGAAACGGGTGCTGGGAAAACGCTCCCAAGTCAACCGCACTCAGGAAGCGCTTTTGTCTGAGTGTGGCTTGGCATTCAGCATTATCTGCTCGACTCTGCCTGGTAATTTCCTCTTAGCCTGCTTGCACTTTCTAATGGTGGGCCAAAGTGCCAGGCATGCATGAAATGCGTTTGACTGATTTGCATTTTGGCATCGGCTTCGGGAGCAGCAGGATCCTTGCGGCTGTGTGCTGAATCTAGAGTAGACTTTAGCAGCAGCCTCTGTAAAATATTTGGCCTGACTGTGGCAAATGTGGCTTTGTGGCCAACTACGGAGTAATTCAATTAATATTTTACCTTTTTGCTGCACATTCAATTTAGCAATCTTCACATACCTGAAAATAGAAACAAAAGCTTTTGTTACTTGTGCTGTTCTGACACGGTAAATAGTCATCATAATTGAAATATTTTATGGACGGAATATGTGTTATTCCGAAAACAGTAGAAATTTAAAAAATCCGAAAGACCAAATCTAAAATAGAGAAATCTCCTTATTTCAACCAACAAAAATTCTAAATGTAATGAAATGTATATAACTTAAACAAGATGTTTTAAAGATAAGACACCATTTTAGGAACTGTCAATTAGGATTGACTGGAAAAAATGTCATCGATTAGTAACATAAACTATACCGTTTAGATCGTGAAAACACACTGACCTTAAAGAGATGTTCTACCCTCTGGGTTTTAAGTACTAAGCTCAAGACTTGCATTTTCATCCAAGAAAGTTCTTTATTAAGAAGCAAGTAGTTAAGTTAGTTTTTAGAATTCCTATTTCAAGAGCTGTAAAAAACTGCATTTCAAAAACAGGAAGCGACCACCCCCGACAATCCTTGTGGCAACCGAGGAAAAGTCAAGGCAAGTCCCCTCGGGAATAGCGGTAAGTATGACAAAGTTTATACATTTTCAAGCTAAAAACTGAGCTCTAATAGCACGGTCAACGAGTCGTATAATTAACGTTATGCCAGAGCGAGAAAGTGCCACTTACTGTGCCGGGGGTAAGTCTGTGGAAAGCGGTCGGAAAACTAAAGACAAAGTCAAACACTTGTCACAGTTTCGACTGAAGGTGGGGCAGCCTTGGAACTTAAACAGTTGCACTTTTCCAGGGGGCGTGGCCACCCCGAGGCACCCCTTTGTCTGTGTGTGTTCCAGTCATTAAATGAATGGCAGCCCGGCAAAAACGCCGCCAGAATTCATCGCAGCACATAAAACGCACCACAGGCAAAGGATGAAGAACCGAGGACGAGGATGACGATGGTTTGGAGTGGCCTGTCGCAGCTTTTGTCTTAAATTGGCTAATAAACTGCCATCTGTCGGGTGAAGGGGCGGTGAAAAGTGCTGGGCGTGTGACTTTGCGCGGTTGGCAAGTTGAAATGCTTGCGGCTTCATTAGGCGCCCATAACGTGAGCACATGAAATTGAAATGTTTAGCTGCCCTCAAGTCAAGTTAAATCTCAGCGAAAAACAGGCCAATATCTGGAAAATTAAATAAGTAGCCCTTAATGCAAAAAGTACGAAATCTCAAGTCATAAAGTTCCTTATGGTCTGTCTTTCCTTGCAACAAGTTTCTGTATAATTTGAATATTAAGTATTAGTGTAAAAAAACGATTATTAATACAAAAAAATTTTATACCGAATTAGAAAAGTTTTGTTATGTGTAAAAAGTACAGTAAGATTTATAAAGAAGCTAATAATCTCTTTCTTATAATATACTATTGGCAGTTTACATTATATGAACATTTATAATATATTTATTTTTCAAGCCTATCCTTGTTATGGGAAGTACAATAGACTCTGTCTCTTTATCTCCATGGTTTTCCACTTGTGGCATTTATGTTGAATACGTCTCTAATGAAATACTTTTGCGTCAAGGCCGAACATTTTAATTAAAACAAGAAAGGAAAGCTAACTTCGGGCGGAGCCGAAGTTGATATACCCTTGCAGAATATTCTATAAATTATATTCTCCAAAATTATTCATATGATGCATTCTTAATACTCATAAAAAGTCCCAACTTCCTAACTTTAAAAACACCAAAGTTATATCATTTCCAATCGTTCAGTTATATGGCAGCTATAAGATATAGTCGGCCGATCCTTATGAAATTTGGTAGGTCGGATTGATTGGCCAAAAATAAAACCCATAGAAAATCCCAACTTCCTAACTTTACAAACACCAAAGCTATGGCATTTCCGATCAATCAGTTATATGGCGGCTATAGGATATAGTCGTCCGATCCTTATGAAATTTGGTAGGTCGGATTGATTAGCCAAAAATAAAACCCATAGAAAATCCCAACTTCCTAACTTTAAAAACACCAAAGTTATGGCATTTCCGATCGTTCAGTTATATGGCAGCTATATGATATAGTGGCCCGATCCGGCTCGTTCCGACTTATATACTACCTGCAATAGAAAGACAACTTTTGGGAAAGTTTCAAGCAGATAGCTTTAAAACTGAGGGACTAGTTTGCGTAGAAACGGACGGACAGACGGACAGACGGACAGACGGACGGACAGACGGACATGGCTAGATCGACTCTCCTGGTGATGCTGATCAAGAATATATATACTTTATAGGGTCGGAAATGTCTCCTTCACTGCGTTACAAACTTTTGACTGAAATTATAATACCCTCTGCAAGGGTATAAATATGTGTTACGCACAGCAAACATTGGCAGTTGTTTTATTGAAAAATACCTGCCCAACTGCCCGTGATGATACACACTAAAATTAATAGGCACACACGAGACGAGAACTATTGACCAAACACGTAATTAAATCATTCTGAAATCGAATTTATTATGGTGAGTTATTGGTATGCGGGGAAATTACGTATCCATAAGGCCAATTCAGACACATTTCAAATTCGAATTTTGGCTGCGTCAAAGAAAATGTCTTAATTAAAATACAGCCTGAGCATTTATTAGTCACATTTGGCCATTAAATATCCCTAAAAGGCAACGAGTTGTATAAATAAATTTGTGAAAAGTATTCACATAAAAGCTGAAGCGCCCGATTTAATGCTGTGGGTGGCGGGGAGAGGGACGGATTAGTTGGCTGAGGAGCGGGATTTCAGTCAAAACACATACAACTTTGTGCTGTGATTGAGGATTTTGTTTGGGTTGAGGAGGAAACTCGTGTCGGAAAAGTCGGAAAAGTCCGTCTTTTTACATACACTGAAATACAACTAATTTAAAATCTTTGATATAAATGCTTAATAAATTTGTTAGTTCATTTTTAATATTTTTGATTAGCTTAATTCACAATATTAATTTTCAAATTCATTCATTGAATTGCCAATTAATTTTATTTTATGCTTAAAAATAATTTTGTTTTTTTGTTGATTAGCTTAGCTCATTAGCTTGTTTTGATAAGCTTAATTCACATTATTAATTTTAAAATTCATTCATTGAATTGCCAATTAATTTTTTCAATGCTTAAGAATAATTTTGTTTTGGTAAAATTTATTTACTTAAATATGTATCAGACAAACTAAGTATTTTTTCATGTGTTCACTGATTGCCGACTGATGCCTTAGACAAATGAAAAAAATAATAAGATCGGATATTACCCAGAGAGGTTTGTCATCTATCTTGAGGAGATTTTCGCGTACTGCTTAAAATTTTTTGAGGCTTTTCTTCTAAGCCCGTAGGAAATACTAACATTTCTGTTCACATTTCCTGGATCATAGAGATTTCATTATTTTTTAACGTTCACCTTTTTTAGTACAATATTTCTCTGTTCTTTTCGGGGGTCAAGCAGGCGAATTGACTTGACTTTTATGGCGGTCATAAAAGGGACTTTAATGTGTTTATGCCCCTTGCCAGTTTACGAAAGCAAACTTCTGCTGTCCTTCACATAAATCGCTTTGAAACACACCCGGAAAGTCCGATGGAATTATGCGTGGGCGCACATTAAATGGGCAACAAACGACGTTTTCTACTCTTACGATATATTCCAGAACTTCTTGGCATGTGTGTGCTAGGGAATGCCTCGGGCATTGACTTCTTCGCATCCAAATCAAGTTGTCAAGGCTCTAGATTACCAGAGCGGGCAGGCAGGCAGTCAAATGAGCTGGCATAAATCCACGCCGCTGGCCAAATATTGATCGGGGGACGTGCTTGAGGTGTACCCCCATTTCAGCCATCCAGGAAGTCAGCTGGCAGCGTTTGTTTGTCGCCCTCGCCTCTGCTGACAATCTGTCAGGTGCCACTTAACATAAAGGTGGGTAAGCCGGAGAGACGCGGAGTGCGGATGATGTTTACCTTTAGCTTTCACCAGGCACGCAAATCCTTCGAAGCAATCAATTTGTTTTTATTGAATTTTCCCTAGCTAGCCAGCACTTTGGAAACGCCAGTTCGGCGAAGGACATTCATTCTTGGTACGCATGACACACCTTACACAGGAAATAGTTTTAATATTTATAAATTATTGTTTATGGGTTTTCGGATTTGTTCTCTTAAAATCACATCAGATTTTGAATATACAATCCATATTCTTTAATTAATTAATTAGCTAAAGTTTTTCAAGTCCTTTTACTTATTAATATTTAGATATACAAACATTTAAAATTGTTCCAATAATGAGCAAGAATAAGCAAATTATAATTCTTTAAATTTTAAAGCTCTACTTCAGGCTGCTATTAACTGGAACGTTTTTTTAATTTTAAAAATTCTAAAGACATTTTAATTTAAGAATTAGAAGTAGTTTCACTTTTTTAATGATAAATTTTTCACTTTTTGTTTTTGCAATATGCACATTGTCTTAAAATTCAATATATTTTCCGTGTACAGCAGCCCAGGACGAACTCCCGCTCGATAGGTATCCTGCCGGGCTACCTGGCGTATGAGTGACGTATGGCTAAGCATTCGTTATGGCTCATAGTCTGAGTGTGTGTGTGTGTGTGGGTGCCAGTGAGTGTCCGTTAGCTTGCACCCACTGCCATCCATGTAGCATTTTTTATTGCTCTCTTCCTGCTGGTCAGGGCAATCATGTCTGTCCGTTTGAGCTGGCTGTCAAAATTTATGCTGCTCAAATTTCCAGCTCAAAACTAACGTTAAGTATACGTCGCCGTCTGCGTTAGGGTCTCCATATAATATCTCTTTTTGTGTGGGAAATAAGCGCTTTATCCTGTTATTTCAAAAACACCAAAGTTATGGCATTTCCGATCGTTCAGTTATATGGCAGCTATATGATATAGTGGCCCGATCCGGCTCGTTCCGACTTATATACTACCTGCAATAGAAAGACAACTTTTGGGAAAGTTTCAAGCAGATAGCTTTAAAACTGAGGGACTAGTTTGCGTAGAAACGGACGGACAGACGGACAGACGGACAGACGGACGGACAGACGGACATGGCTAGATCGACTCTCCTGGTGATGCTGATCAAGAATATATATACTTTATAGGGTCGGAAATGTCTCCTTCACTGCGTTACAAACTTTTGACTGAAATTATAATACCCTCTGCAAGGGTATAAATATGTGTTACGCACAGCAAACATTGGCAGTTGTTTTATTGAAAAATACCTGCCCAACTGCCCGTGATGATACACACTAAAATTAATAGGCACACACGAGACGAGAACTATTGACCAAACACGTAATTAAATCATTCTGAAATCGAATTTATTATGGTGAGTTATTGGTATGCGGGGAAATTACGTATCCATAAGGCCAATTCAGACACATTTCAAATTCGAATTTTGGCTGCGTCAAAGAAAATGTCTTAATTAAAATACAGCCTGAGCATTTATTAGTCACATTTGGCCATTAAATATCCCTAAAAGGCAACGAGTTGTATAAATAAATTTGTGAAAAGTATTCACATAAAAGCTGAAGCGCCCGATTTAATGCTGTGGGTGGCGGGGAGAGGGACGGATTAGTTGGCTGAGGAGCGGGATTTCAGTCAAAACACATACAACTTTGTGGCGGTTTAAGTGCCCCCGGTTCAGAGTTGGCTCATAAAATGTGTGACCCACTGTTTGCCTGGTCGTTTGCTTTGTTTTATGTGTACTCTGGCTTTGGATTCGACGCTTTTGGCTTTGCTGCTTATTGTCAAAGTTTCCGGCTGCAGCAAGTAGTGCGTAAAATTTCAATACGATATCAAGAAGTTGAGCCATAAATTTCTGAAATTATTGGCACAAGTGAAGTTGTGCCTTGAAAATATAATTCTAGATTCACATTATATATATATATGTATATATATGAGTCCCTGGCCCGCTTTGGTAGGCCTTTGCCTCAAGGCTCAAGAAATTCCATGCGTTTTTCCTCGACTGGCCTCAGTTATGTTTTGCACTTGTATTTTTATGACCTCATATTTTTATTTATTATAGTTTGCTTTGTGAATTAATCAACAATCGCCAAGGGGGCAAAAAGAAAAACCTTTGCTCATAGAAACAAACTTAACTATGATTGTTCTCATTTCCTTTGAAATTTGTATGTGTTTCAACAATTTGTGTATCCAATAATATTTTGTTGACATTTTATTTTAAATTTGTTTGTCTTATTAACAAAGGGCTCTAAATAAAAGTGATCTGAAGATTTGATAGTGCCTTTTAGAACGTTGGTATTTTTTCATGAAAACAAATAATTTTATTTATTGCTTGCGTGTGGGTATAATAGT